GTACATCCATACAATAGAATCTTACTCAGCGACGACAAGAAATGAGTTATCAAGCCACAAAAAGATATAGATGAATCTTAAATGCATATTGCTAAGTGAAAACCAGTCTGAAAAGACCACATACTAACTATACCACTCTAATTATATGAAATTCTGGGAAAGTGGGAAACAGTAAGAAGAAGTTGCCATGGGTTCAGGAGGGGGAGAGGGAGGTTGAATAGGACTTTTTTAGTGTGGTGAAACTGTTCCATATGACACTGTAACAGTAGATACATGACACAATGCATTTGTCAAAACATTGAACTTCATAGCACAGTGACCTTCAATGTATGTAGATTTAAAAACATCATTTAGAAGTGGTGGGGGTGGTTCCTAGGATGAAATGCAGAACAAACAACATAATCTAACATTATAATATTACAACATATTAACAATCTCCCTGAAGAGGATGAGGTTACTAACCTGTCACTTTGGAAATGACATCTGTAAAATTAAAAGAAACTATTCTTGCCCCACCCCGTCCGGGAGCAGCCGGGAGCTGCTTTCCTCCGCCCGCCGAGATGGCGCTCGACCCCGCAGGGCAGCATCTCAGACATGTCGAAAAGGATGTTTTGATTCCTAAAATAATGAGAGAAAAAGCCCGAGAGAGATGTTCTGAATGAGTTCAAGATTTTACCAAATGTTGCAAGGACTCTGGAATCCTTATGGTAGTAAAATGCTGGAAAGAAAATTCTGCATTGAAAGAATATCTAACTGCTCATTATAATGATCCAGCCTTTTATGAAGAATGCAAAATGGAATACCTGAAGGAAAGGGAAGAATTCAGAAAAACTGGAATTCCTGCCAAGAAAAGGCTACAGAAACTTCCCACAAGCATGTAGGCAATTACTCAGATACTTAGCTCCGATACTCGTGGAAATAATCATCACCTAAAATAATGGACTCAAAGAAGTGTTTGCTTTATCCTAAATTATGGAAATAATAAAGATTTCCTTAAAAAAAAAAAAAAAAGAAACTATTCTTGGGCGCCTGGGTGGCTCAGTTGGTTAAGCGACTGCCTTCGGCTCAGGTCATGATCCTGGAGTCCCAGGATGGAGTCCCGCATCGGGCTCCCTGCTTGGCAGGGAGTCTGCTTCTCCCTCTGACCCTCCCCCCTCTCATGTGCTCTCTCTCATTCTAATAAATGAAATCTTAAAAAAAGAAACTATTCTTAGCACTGTACACTAGTTGATAAACTTGTTTCTCATGTGGGTATGGGTTTACAATTCTACTATCGCCATACATTTATCATCGTGGAATTCCACAACTAAGCAAATGGTAGGCAGATGGTGGGAGCAAGCTTTCTCAGTGTTTCACTGAAATAACACTAGACTGACTTGTGCAAGTAGGCCTGTTAGAAACAAGTTTTATACATGTGCCTTGACAGAGTTTTGACATGCAGCAGTGTGTTGCGATGTTTCAGGAGATGACACTGTGATATTGTGATAGAGTAAGAAATACACATTTGGTCTTTATTCCTGGTTCCCAGCACAGAGCTCCTAAAACCTTGGAATTTCCTCACAGGGGTGGGAGGTGTGTCTTTTTTATTCATAACAAGACCCTTTCAACCATACCTGATTTTATGCAAATGAGATGAGTCTCAAAGTATGGAATCTGGTTACCAGAGGAACCAACCGTGTGATTAGAGGGTTGGAACTTCCAGCCTCACCGTCCTGACCTCCAGAAGGTAAGAGAGGCTGAGATTAAGTTCAATCACAAACGGTCAAGGACACAAACAGTTCTAAAACCATTCATCTACCGCTGATTAAGACTGGGGTGGCAGGTATGGGGGATAATACTCATTTAGCCTTCTGAGCTTTCTGGGCATAGTTGGCGACCTTGTCAGCTCCAGCTGCCTTCTTCTTTTTTTTTTTTTTTAAGATTTTATTTATTTATTTGACAGAGAGAGAATGAGAGAGAGAGAGAGCATGAGAGGGGGGAGGGTCAGAGGGAGAAGCAGACTCCCCGCCGAGCAGGGAGCCTGATGTGGGACTCGAACCCGGGACTCCAGGATCATGACCTGAGCCGAAGGCAGTCGCTTAACCAACTGAGCCACCCAGGCGCCCCTCCAGCTGCTTTCTTGTCCACTGCTTTGATGACACCATTTAAGTTTAACAGTAAAAGACTGGTTAATGCTAACAATGCATTGTAGAACCAGGGACAATGTTTTGGGAACCATTTGGGGTGTGTGTGTGTGTGTGTGTTTGGGAACCATTTGGTGTGTGTGTGTGTGTGTGTGTGTGTGGCAGTTTTACGTTATTAGTTTTTAAAATCAGTACTTTTTAATGGAAACAACTTGACCAAAATCTGTCACTGAATTTTGAGACCCATTAAAAATGAAAGTTTAATGAGACAAAAAAACCCCAAAACCCACAAATGGCTGATGAATTTAATCAGTTGTGCCTATGTAATGGAACCTCCCCAGAAACCCTAAAGGACAGGGTCCAGAAGAGCTTCAGATTGGTGAACACATCAAGGTGCTGGGAGAGGGATGTGCTCAGAGGGATGGAAACTCCACATCCCTTGCTCTATGCATCTCCTCCCTTTGGGTGTTCCTGAGTTGCATCCTTTACAATAAACTGGCAATCTAGTAAGTAGTGTTTTCCTGAGTTCTGTGAGCCATTCTAGCAAGTTATCGAACCTGAGGAGGGGGTGGTGGGTACCACTGATGAGCAGTTGGTTAGAAGTGTAGGTGACAACCTGGGACTTGTGATTGACACCTGAAGTTGGGGCAGTCTTGTGGGACTGAGCCCTTAACCTGCGGAGTCTGCACTAACTCCAGGTAGTGTCAGAAGTGTTATGATCAGAGGAGACAGGTTTTTCAACAATATACTGATTCATTTCTGTAACTAGTACTGTGGGAAACTTTATACATATAACCAAGGGACATTCTGCAAAATAGCTGACCAGTATTCCTCAAAATTGTGTAGGTCATCAAAACCAAACAAGTCTGAGGACTGTCACAGCAAAGAGGAGCCTTTGCAGGTATGACTAAGTATAATAGGATATCCTGGAACAGAAAAAGATAAAAAATAAGAAAATCTGAATAAAGTATGGGGTGGCAAAGGATTTGAATACATTTCTCCAAAGATATACAGACAGCCAGTAAGCACATGAAAAGGTGGCCAACATCATGAGACACTGGGCAAATGCAAATAAAAACCACTTCATTACCCACTCGGATGACAGGTACTAACAGACGTTGGCAGTTCAAGTGGAAAAATTGAAATCTCATACACTGCTGGTAGGACTATAAAATGGTGCAGTCTTTTTAGAAAAGTTTGGCAGGTTTTCAAAAGATTAACTTACCATGTGACCCATTCCTGGTATAGATCTAAAAAAATTGTAAATATGTCCATACAAAAATTTATACATGAACGTTCATAGCATTATTCAAATGGAAAACCCCCCAAATGACCATCAACTGATGGATGGGTAAACAAACACAGGGCATTGCTAGCTACACAGATTACTTGACAATAAAAATGAAGTACTGATCCATACTATGACAGGGATAAACCTTGAAAACATACTAAATGAACAGCTTACACAAGGCCACATGATGTTATGACTCCATTTTATACAAAATGAAACTAGGGTAGTCCCTGTACTAGGGGCTGGGGAGTGAATGCTAATGGATTTGGGTTTTTTTTCCTGGGGTGATGAATATGTTCCGGAATTAGATAGTGGTGATGGTGGCAAACTCTGTAAGTACACTGGAAACCACGGAGTTCTACACCTTTTTTTAAAAGGCAGGTTTAATGGCACAGGAGTTACTTCAATAGTTGGTAAAAAGATCCTCTGTGCGGCTGCTACTGCACAAGCTGATTCTGCGAAGCAGAACACAACCGAGTGCAGTCACAGTTCTTAACGGGGTTGGATTCTCCTTCCGTCTGGCTCTCACTACGGCCAGGACACCTGGGTAGAATTAAAACAAAGACTACACTGAACAACTCTAATGTTTTATAAACCTTTATTGGAAAGGCTACAAACTTTATATTGCCACTGCATTTCTTACCCTTGAAGTGGTTATGGGGAAGCAACCTTGGATACAAAACTAGGATGCTGTTGAACCTTGCCCAGGCTGGTTGTAAAGTATTTTTTGTACAATGGAGGTAGAGAGGACAGGGCAGTAATTTTAACCTCACAGGCCTTGATTAATGCCAGGACACTTCCCACTCCCCCCCTCCCGCCCCCCACTCAGGTTCTGGTAGACCTGGAAATAAACTACAAGTACTGTGTTTAGGCTCAGGGATGGCATAATACATTTTTAAATTTTAGCTTTCAGTTTTCCCTGTTTGTTCTTTTACAGATGTAAAACGTACAACTAATGTCTCTTTTCCCTAAAATTAAAGTGTGTTCTAAGAAGATCTACTCTGGGAATGAAAAGAAGGTAATAGAAGATGGAAAGAAGAGCGACACAACATCCTCTTCATAGTAGTTTTACCTGATTTTTCTCATACCAGCCTGAGTCTTACTTTTCTATAAAACATTAGTAATCAGTGCTTCCCCCAATCTCAAATATTCAACTTAATGGAGACAGAGAATCTTTAACTTAACATTTAATGAAAACAGAGCATTTTAACAGGTTCTTTGCAGACATGGTTCTAATATTGATTTGCTGTTACCTTATTTTTAAAACGGGGTGGTGGTGGGAGATACAGAGGCTAGATTAACCTGGCCCCAACGCTCAGGATCATAACTTACGAGTTACATAACTCTGATGTCCTTGACTGTACAAAGCATCAATTGAAGCCAATAAAGCCTGTTTCTACCAACATATCAAACTTTCTCTTTGCCTTTTAAAACTATAAAATGGGCACGTACCTGAGGCATAGGCTTCAGGCCAATGGGTTTTTAAGGGCTGCTTAAGAACCAGAATGAAGGATACATTCTCCAGCTTAAGGATCTATTTTACAGTTCAAAGTATGTTCTTCCTTTTAAAAATGTGACACAAAGAATAATTTATACCAACTGCTTTTTATTATCGAGTTTCAGAAACCTTTCACAAGATGGTAAAAAAAAAAGGGGGGGGGGGACTTTACAACCACAGCTAATGTTATTTTTTTCTCCATTGTTCCCAGTCAGCTCCAAACCCATTGTGTGCAAAGCCCATTTTTCCATGCATCTAAACGATAGATACAGGCTATGAAATTCTTTATTCTATTTGTAGCAGCTTATGCAGGTGCAGCCAAACACAAAGCTTCAGGACAAATTGTACACAAACTTTACAATGTGGGATTTGGATTTAAAATATGAAACATAAAATCTACACAAAACTGATAAAAATCAAGCACAGATACCAGGACTGAAACTTATAATCCATGTGTGAAAGGGAGTCTTGTTTCCTTTCAAGTGCTTTATTCTGCTACAGAACAGTCAAAATGAAGATGTAAAGCTTTGTGGTTAGTTTAAATTATACACTCTGTAGATACTATACCAATTTTAAAAGTTACACATAGACCAACAGATGTCCATCAGTTCCTCTGGATTGACCAGACACTCCAGCTGGATCGCTGAAAGCAAACCGGGCAAATGTGGAAAGAAAATCCACCTGTGCAATTTGTTTGCAGAGTTTACTGATGGGCACATTGCACTCCTGGTCCATGATGGCTGCTGCTTTCTTCATCAGAGCTATCGTTATAGGCTTCACGCCTCTGACCACCTCCCGAGCCCCGAGTGCTATCAAATTCTTGAAGCTCTACCTCCTCTGTGTCTCCAATTATGTTTGGAACTTCTGGTCTAGATGGCAGAAGATCTTCTAGCTCCTTTATGAAAATCAAAACAAAACAAAAAGGTTAGTTTGTGAGCTATCTTCAACTTCCCTTTGGATACAATCTAAGGTATATCCAAGGTATATGCTTCTTTGAGAGTTAAAATAGATAAATCTAGTGCACTTTAAGCCAGAAGATCACAAACTAATGACCCACAGAAGACATGCCTTCCTGCATGGAAGGACTAATGCTAAGCTTTCGAAAGGCTGCCTCTTTAGGGGAGGGATCTGGTGTCCAGGGAGTCCCAATCCTTCCAACACCAACTTACATCCAGTCTGCTTTAATTCTTTACTACTCCCTGCTTGGCACCATCAATATTTACACCAGCAAGATTTGTTTTTGTTGTTGTTGTTTTGTTTTTTAAGAGAGATACAAAGAGTGTGGGTGGGGGGAGAGGGAGAGAGAGAACCTGAAGCAGGTTCCACATCCGGTGAGGAGCCTGACATGGGGCTTGAAATACAGTTGGATGCTTAAGTAACTGAGCCACCCAGGCACACCAAGCTTTGCTTTTAATAATCACCAGGACGGCCCAACAACCACTCAAGTGTTAAAAAAATCCTAGCACCCAAAACAAATCAAAGGTGACAAACACCTCACTGTTAAACTTTAAGTAATTTGTTGCTTATATTTAGAGAGAACACTTACAGAAAGCTTGTCTGGGTTGATCCAGTTGTTTTCAGGAAACTGCACATCAAACTTTATGTAGAGATCACCTTTTTCAAAGGGATTACGATACTGTGGCATTCCTTCCCCTCGAACTACACGGACACATCCTATTATTTGAGTAAGTAAAAAGGAAATTATTAGAATTTTACCCAAGAAGAAAGGTGCTCAATAATTCTTTTGAGAGTCACCTACTATAAAAAAATTACAAACTGGAAAAAAAAAAACAACTCAACAACAAAAACAAAACCACATGGAATCCTGGATTAGACAAAAATCAAGATTTACCTGGTTCAATTACTTTTCCGGGGGGGTATTTCACCACAATCTGACGTCCATCAAGGTGCTTAAATGTGAACTGAAATCCACATAGAGCTTCAACAAGTCCTATCTTATATGTCATGTGCAAGTCATTCCCATCTCTTTGGAACACCTACAAATAAAGCACACAAAACACATTTAAAAAAAAAAAATTATGAAGCCATACCCTGTTGTGCTGTGTTCCTTGAAATGATTTCAAAACCTTAATTCTACCATTCATTGTAAAAGCCAAACTGTTGTCATCCCTAATTCCCTAAATTTATATAAAGAAACCTAGCTATTCTCATGTATTATGCTAGAAACATCTATCAGAAAAGCATTGGGAGGAGCACCTGGGTGGCTCAGTTAGTTAAGCATTTGCCTTCGGCTGGGGTCCTGATCCCAGGGTCCTGGGATCAAGCCCTGAATTGGGCTCCCTGCTCAGTGGGGAGTCTGCTTCTCCCTCTCCTTCTGCCCTTCCCCCTGCTGGTGCGCGCTGTCAAATGATTAAATAAAATCTTTAAAAAAAAAAAAAAAGGAAAGGAAAGCACTGGAATTGAGAAAACTGGCTCTAATAAAGCATAGCTCAGGCTCCAAAAAACAGAACCAGAGATATTCTGCAACTGTGGCTCATTTCCTGACCCTGCCTCTGAGCAAAAAAGGGTGTAGACAGTCCAGCAGGATTCTGTAGAAGAGGTTCATCTTGGAAGTGCTCCCCAGACATGACTGTAACAGGGGAAGGGGAGAGCCCAAGTTCAACATAAAAAGCTCAACCACTAAATGGGCTCAATATCATGCTTTACACATGTACAAGCAAGTATTACCTCACCTAAAATTCAAAATTTGCTTAGATGAATATAAATCAAACAGCAGTGCCAAGTGACTAATTACAATATTAGTCTATGGCTTAGGTAATGCAAAGATTATTCAATAAACATCAAGTATATTTCTGAGCTTTCAATGTGTAGGAAAAATACATCCAATTTCACACATACCTTACTTATAGTTTTTGCTTATTAGAATTTACAAATATCTATACTTCGCTTTTGAAATTTAAGATGAAACAAAACTGCAATGAAAGGTCACCTAGATTTTTTTCAATACAAAATAATCTCTCCTCCAAAGAACAAAACAGATGAACATAAGGGAAGGGAAGGAAAAATAAGACAAAAATAGAGAGAGAGGCAAACCGTAAGAGACTCAACAAAAGGGAAAAAGATTGCTGGAGGGGAGATGGGATAATGGGTGATGGGCATTAAGGAGAGCACTTGATGTAATGAGCATTGGGTGCTATATGCAACTGATGAGGGGTGCATGGGTGGCTCAGTCGTTAAGTGTCTGCCTTCGGCTCAGGTCATGATCCCAGGGTCCTGGGATCGAGCCCCGCATCGGGCTCCCTGCTCGGCGGGAAGCCTGCTTCTCCCTCTCCCACTCTCCCTGCTTGTGTTCCCTCTCTCGCTGTGTCTCTATCAAATAAATAAACATTAAAAAAAAAGAGAGATTTGTATGTTTCAGCTATAGCACCCACCCTAATCTCATGGCCTGACAATTCCTTCAGCACAAACTTTGGGAGTAAAAAAAAAAAGCCCCAAACAAAATAACTACAAGCTTTTTCATGAACTAGTTGAGACTAGCCAAATTTTCTTAGAAGGCTAACATTTTCAGGGTGCCTGGGTGGCTCAGTCGGTTGAGCGTCCGACTCTTGGTTTCGATTTGGCTAAGGTCAGGTCATGATCCCAGAGTCATGGCATCGGCCCGCATCCTGGCTCTGTGCTCACAAGGGAATCTGCTTGAGATTCTCTCGCCCGCCCTCCCCTCTCTGAAATAAATAAATCCTTGAAAAAAAGAAAGGTTAATATTTTCAGTGGTATTAATTAAACAAAAGCCTAAATCTCGGGCTCCAATTTACTTTACTGGTCATAGTAAAACCATGAAGTAACATCCTTTGACCTCTCACCAGCTGAACTTCCACTCTAACCTCTAACATCTCCTATTTTCTACTTTAGACAGTTACATCTGCTGTCTGTTGGAAATTCCATGCAACTCCACCACTTCCAACAATTTTAAGAGGTGACCTTCTTCCAAACGCCTCCCCACAGCCCCAAGAAAGAAAAGCAGTTTATTCTGAGAATCAGATCTCATCTGATTCTACATTATCCTTGAGGGACGACTACTTTGTATTTAGAAAGCAAAGCCAAGCCCATGGAGCCCAAAGCTAGTACTAAATAGGGAGTCAGAACTTAGATCCTTGTCTCCAAATCCAGTAATCTGTATTTTAAAAATCCTAACTCAATTATGTAGCAACACTAAAGACTGAATGTAGGATAAAAAAAAGTTTCACCACCAGTGTGACATACCAAAAACTCTCCTCCAAATAAACATTACTTCTTAACTTCTCCATTACCCTCCTGCTGCTGCATGCCACACACCATTTGGTAACTGTCCTCAAACTATTCCAATGAGGGCGCCTGGGTGGCTCAGTTGGTTAGGCGACTGCCTTCAGCTCAGGTCATGATCCCAGGGTCCTGGGATCGAGTCCTGCATCGGGCTCCCTGCTCTGTAGGGAGCCTGCTTCTCCCTCTCCCACTCCCCCTGCTTGTGTTCCCTCTCTCGCTGTGTCTCTGTCAAATAAATAAATAAAATCTTTAAAAACAAAAAAAAACAAAAAAAACCAAACTATTCCAATGATAGATCAATGAAAATACCCACATGTTGTCTGGACCGTCTTACAATACAGTTTATACCCAAGCATATTATAAACATCTCAATTACCTAGCTATCTTTCTGCCTTTCTGCCTTGTTACATGGTGTTTTGCATGAAAGGCATGATTGAACAAATGAAGAAATGGCTACAATGCCAGTTAACAGAGAATCTTTTAAAAGAGTTACAGCTCTTTTTGGGGCTCCTGGGTGACTCAGTCAGTTGAGCGTCCAGACTCTTGCTTTCGGCTCAGGTCCTGATCTCAGGGTTGTGAGATCAAGCCCCATGTTGGGCTCTGCACTGAGTGCGGAGTCTGCTTGAGATTTGCTCTCCCTCTGCCCCTCCCCCCAACTCTGTCTTTCTCAAATAAATAAATAAATCTTTGGGGGAAAACAACTACAGGGTTACAAATATTTCAACCTACAAGACCCTAAAGCAGAATTCTAGGAATTACTATTTTTTAGCAAGCAGGAAGCCCTTGCTATTTGTACGTTTGGCAATATCCACAAAGAGCCTAGATATATATATAGTAATTTATAGCTTTGCTGAGGTAAGAAATTTATCCTGAGAAAGGTTAGTATAGGAGAGCAAGCCACAATCTAGTGAGAGAATTAATCTAACCAATCTAATTCCCAGAATCTACATCTCAATACGGCTTTACTCTCTATTAGATTCTTTTAAGTGATTTTCAAAATTTACCTTACTTGTAGAAATCACCACCAAAAGAGAAAATTTCAGTACAAACTAAAAAGGTGGTTGACTTGCGATATAAGGACCTTCAGAGAAACTCAAGTCAATGTGGTCAAGTACAATGCCAGAACCGGGTCAAAAATCAGAATCTGGGTGATTACTAAAGAGGTTTCCTGAATAGCTCCAGATACCGTCTTCAAGAACAAAAGCCCACAGTATACTCTATAGCACATTAAAAAATACACGTGCGGGGGCACCTGGGTGGCTCATTCGGTAAACTGTCTGCCTTCAGCTCAGGTCACGATCCTGGGGTCCTGGGATCGAGCCCTGCATCAGGCTCCCTGCTCAGCAGGGAACCTGCTTCTCCCTCTCCCTTTGCTGCTCCCCCTGCTTGTGCTCTCCCGCTCGGTCAAATAAATAAAATCTTAAAAAAAATACACATGCAATGGTATAATCAAAATAATATACACTAGACCAGATCGTTGGACCAGTTAATTATGCCTTGTACATAACATACAATATATATCTAAAATAATAATAATTTTTAAGATTTTATTTATTTGAGAGAGCATGCAAGCAGGGGTGGGGGGAGGGGCAGAGGGAGAGGGAGAAGCAGACTCTCAACTGAGCAGGAAGGCTGATTTGGGCTCGATCCCAGGACCCCAAGATCATGACCTGAGCGGAAGGCAGATGCTTAACCAACTGAGTCACCCAGGTGCCCCCAAAATAATTTTTCTTAAACTGCAGAACCTTTAAAGAAAAGCTCACATGGTTAACCCAGTATGTAAAAACTAATCAAGAGAGCAGCACTGAAGACTGAAGCCCTATCTACCACTCACCCTCTATCAAAGGAGTTTCACAATGAAAAATAAGCTGCCTTAGATAATCTGGTCCAATGCCCTTTTTTTTTTTTTTTTAAAGATTTTATTTATTTATTTGAGACAGAGAGAATGAGAGAGAGAGCACATGAGAGGGGGAGGGTCAGAGGGAGAAGCGGGACTCGATCCAGGGACTCCAGGATCATGACCTGAGCCGAAGGCAGTCGCTCAACCAACTGAGCCACCCAGGCGCCCGCCCTCTTTTTTTTTTTTAAGATTTTATTTATTAGAAGAGAGAGAGACAGTGAGAGAGGGACACAAGCAGGGGAAGTGGGAGAGGGAGAAGCAGCCTTCCCGCGGAGCAGGGAGCCGATGCGGGGCTCGATCCCAGGACCCTGGGATCATGACCTGAATGGAAGGCAGACACTTAACGACTGAGCCCCCCCAAGCGCTCCAATGCCCTTATTTTCATACAAGGAAACTGGGGTATAACCACAACAGGATTACTTAAGGTTATAGTGCTAATCAATGGCTGAGCTTGAACCAAAACTGACTCCTTTTCAGTGCTTCTGAAAGCACCTGCTTTGTTGGTCTACTAAGCAAGTCAGTTCTTATAAACTCAGCCCAACCACTTAACTTCATTTATGTTCAATGTTGTTCCAAAGAACCCAAAAAGATCTAAACCTGTATCTTGACCGCAAGACCCATTTGTGAATAAAACAAAAATCAAACAAACAAACAAACAAAAAGGGATTTACCTCATGTTCCTTCTCTTGTAGCAAAAGAACAATGTCTCCTGGTTCCACTCCTGGGGCCTGATCTGCTTCCCCAGTGAATGTAATTCTCTGTCCATGTTTCATGCCTTTGTCTACGTGGACTTCAAGAATCTTGACTTCTTTAATCACCTTCTTCCCCTCACATTTTTTACAGCGGTCCTTTTCATTAATTACCTCTCCTAGAAAGAGAGTAACATTAAAACTTCCAGCAAGAGTACTATGTTGCACTCTTTTTTTTTTTTTTTTTTTAAAGATTTTATTTATTTATTTGACAGAGAGACACAGTGAGAGAGGGAACACAAGCAGGGGGAGTGGGAGAGAGAGAAGCAGGCTTCTCGCCGAGCAGGGAGCCCAATGCGGGGCTCGATCCCAGGACCCTGGGATCATGACCTGAGCCGAAGGCAGACGCTTAACGACTGAGCCACCCAGGTGCCCCCTACATTGCACTCTTAAGATACGTCTTAATAATGTTTTTATTCATTAAATAAATGTTCTGCATTTAACTGCTATCTAAAATTTTATTTATATTTATTTTATATATTTTTTTAAAGATTATATTTAGGGCGCCTGGGTGGCTCAGTTGGTTAAGCAACTGCCTTTGGCTCAGGTCATGATCCTGGAGTCCCGGGATCGAGTCCCGCATCGGGCTCCCTGCTCGGCGGGGAGTCTGCTTCTCCCTCTGACCCTCCTCCCTCTCATGCTCTCTGTCTTTCATTCTCTCTCTCTCAAATAAATAAAATCTTTAAAAAAAAAAAAAAAAAGATTATATTTATTCATTTGAGACAGAGAGAGAGAGAGAGAGAGAGAGAGAGCGCGCGCACCAGCAGGGGGAGAGGCAGAAGCAGGCTCCCCGCCGAGCCAGGAGCCCGACATGGGGCTCAATCCCAGGACCCTGGGATCATGACCTGAGCTGAAGGCAGACGCTTAACAATCTGAGCCACCCAGATGCCCCTAAAGTTTTGTTTAAATTATCATTCTTAATAACAGAAACTCACATCTTACTACAGGTTACCTGAAGGACCCAGCTACCTGGTTCCCTCTATTTCAAAGAAACGTATGAGAAATGTAATGTATCTTAAACACTACTCTCTTGGCTCCTGACTCTATTTCCTCAAGTTAAAACAAAGCCTAAGCTTCAAGGAAAAAAAAATGGGTGGTCAGATGCTGAAGCTTCTACAAGTGCTACTTCCTTTTTTGTTTTCAGGCTTAGTTTCAAGTAAGTTTGCTGACAGAGACAACCCAAATAAAAACTTAAATATCTTTTATGGCTCATTATTACATTGTATAGTTGGTATGAGATTTTATTTATTTCCTAGACTAACCCCTGCTCAGATGTCCTATTACGGATCTTCCTTTTATTTAGGTACGCTATCACTGAGAAATTTCCAAAACCAATTAAGAAATGGCTAAATTTTAGCTGACACTGAGTACCCCCATACCACGTTTAGGACAACACAGCTTCTTTTCTATGTGTTCTTCTGAAACATTTAATTAGTGGTATAATAAAGTAAAACTGAAGTTCTACATGTGAAAAAATAGCATTGATTTCTACTGGCTGATTACTGGCACACTTTAATGCTTAGGTAACATGTATAATTAATGACTTGAGGGACTATTTCTAGAACACTGCTTTCAAAAAGTATGTTCTGCAAAACACCAGTTCCTCATAATGGAATGGCACATGGGTAAAGATTTCAGTAAACTTTGGTTTCTTGATAGCAGGAACTGTTAAGAGGCTTTAATAAGGTAAAGTGCACTAAGACTTTCCAGGAGGGGAATATAATATGCAGTTTCTCCATTATTTCACCACTTCCTGGAGTAATTTGGAAAAAGATGGTCTAGAACTGTGCTGTCCAATATGGTAGCCACCAGCCATCTGTGACTATTTAAAGTTTAAATTAATTAAAATTAAAAATTCAGTTCCTCAGTCACACTAGCTACATTTCATGTACTGAATAGTCACAGGTGGCTAGTGGTGACCATACTCAACATTGCATATATAGAACATCTCCAACATTGTAGGAAAATTTTACTAGATGGCACTGCTCTAGAACAGGGTCTGGTAAACTAAATCCCCAGGCCAAATTGGGTATGCCCTTGTTTTTCTAAGAAATGTTTAACTGGAAGTCAGTCATGCCCATTTGGTTATATATTGTCTATGGCTAAAAAGCACTACAAGGACAGAGGTGAGTAGTAGTTTCAGAAATCACTCTGAGCCTAAGTATTTCAAAGTCATTTAAAACCTAAAGTATTTACTTCTGTGAGAAGCTTCAATTCCCCTTACCTATCCTTAAAAGCTAGCTAAAGCTTACAGTAAAATCTTCCACTTATCAGAATAACTAAACAATTTGCTGTCTCCCTCTTTATCAAATATAACCTTTAATAATATAAAGGGACAAAGGACTTTGCCCATCCTTTCGGAACTAAAGACTAACATTTTATTGAACATAATACAAATTTACTGTCTGTGTTCATTGGGCCTATGCATAATAGAATAATTATTTTCACATTCTTCTTTTAGAACTCTGTATCTTTTCTTTAATAAGATGAATACAAACACATATTAAAAAAGAAAAATTGTAAGCCTCTCCAATTCCTGCATTTCTAATCCATTTCAACATAAAAGCAGAGAAGTATTGTCATGCATACCTTCTCCATTACAGTCAGAACACACAGACTGCATCTGTTGTACCATTCCTGGAGCCAGCTGTCTGATCATGATGCGTACACCTCGACCCCGACAAGCACTACACTTCTGAACAGCTCCAGACTTTCCACCTTGGCTAAAGCAAGCAAATATATAAATTAGATTTTTGCCCACGGACCATTCCATTGGCCATGACAAACAGGAAATGTGCTTTTTACCTTCACCTTCAACCCCCAATGACTAGTATTTAAACTGACTTTCAAATGTATCAGAAAATGTTCTGTGTTGGGTAGTTTAAATCATGAACAATTTTTACCTGGTATAGACTAAAAGTGCCACTGAAAGAACAGATGGAAATTTATTTCATAAACCTGAACACACACTTACCCACTGCATGCACTACAGAGTACATTCTTGCTAAGTTGTAGTTTGGTTGTCTTGCCATTATACAGATCTTCTAAAGACACCCTGGGGAGAAAAGAATTAGGTCCAATCAAATTTTGCCAAGTTCTCCTAAATACAAGATATAAATGACCGCTGATACAGCAAATTCCACTATAACCTTTTAAAGAATTCAAAATCATCTTACATTAATTAAGTCAACTGATCGAAGTTTTATTTTGTGGCTCAAATAAGCAGAAGACTTTTATGATTATGGACAGTATCCATGGTGCTCAAAGCCACAACCTATAGGATCAGGCTAACAATTTGTTATGCTACATTTTCTGACAGAGCTGATAATTGAACAAACTCAAGCATCACAACCTTCTTCTGGCCTCAGGCAGGAGGCCCTTCATCTAATCCAACCCTCTGAATGAGGTACAATTATTATCCTCATTTTACAAGACAAAACTGAACAGACGGGTTAACTTGCCTTTCTTGATCACATAGGCAGCTTGGTTCCAGAGTCCATGCTCTACTAAAGGCTTTGCTCCCCCCAAGGACAATTTTTAGAAAGGTGACAAAGTTATATTACAACTTATGGGAGTTATATGCAACTTAGATAGCGTATGTCTCAAAAACAAAAGTAACCTTATCAGCAGTGTGACAGAGAGGAGGGAAAGGTTTTCAACAGGGAGCCTAGAAGCTTAAGAGGTCTTAAGGACCCACTGACTTATAATCAAAATTATATATTTGAACTTCTACCAAATTTCCAAAGGGGTCTATCATCAAAAAAAAAAAGAAAAAAAAAAGGAGAGTTTAAAAGCCTATTAAAAATGCGTAACTGATAAAACCCAATTCACCTTTATATAGCATATTTGAATTACAGGACCATTCATTTCCAAACTAACCTCAAAAAAACCTATGTATATCAAGTCTCAAAAAGACTATTCTTTTAGGATCTGAACGCAATGCTTTTAATGTGGTTTTACCCTTCTCACTGTGTTTTTAAAACTCCTTTAGCAGTGAAGATTTACTTTAAAATAGAGGAACAATTGTTAAAAGTATTTTGCAAAGCACCTATACTATTTATATTGTGGCATTCCAACTTTCCCCAAATCATTATTTCAAGCTTAAATTTATACGTTCTAGACAATATAAGAATAAAACACTGATGGACAAAACATTAGCAACACTTTCAAATAATAACATAGCTACAGCTTAATCAGACAAAAGCAACTGGCTGCATCTTTTATACTCATAACAATCTTTAACCAAATCATCTACAGAAGGCGAAGAGGTAGATCTTTTCCTCCTTACATATTAAATTACACTTAGTATGCAAAACCACTACCTAAGAGGCCAGAAAAACACACACTTCAACAAACATGGCCAATGAAGGAAAAATGTGGGTAATGGTCTGGCCAAGCTGGCACTCTCCACCAATGGTGCTAAACTGGCACAATCCTTTACAAGGCAATTTAGTTGTATTTATCAGCCTCAAAACACTGATGCCTGCCTGAGAATCTCTGCCAAGAAAAGACAAAGCTGTATATAAAGATACTCAAAGCAGCTATTTACTACAGAAAAAAATTGGCAACATCCTCTAGAAAAGGTGAATGCTTGAATAAATCATGGAACTGAATATTATAAAGACACCCAAAATGAAATCTTATAACAATAGGTAAATTTTAGGGTGGCCGGTTAGCTCAGTTGGTTAGAGCATGGTGCTGATAACAATAGGTAAATTTTAAATAATGTTAAAAGAAAATAGCATTTGCGGTATACAATGAAAAAAATTTTAAAGTGAACATTAATTTTTTAAGACACAGCAAGTACTTTCTTGATCTTATTTACTTCTTAAATCACTTTTGTATCAAAGAAAAAAAGAACTAATCACACTGTACAACTATTACTCTTGGAATAATATCCAAATGATAATTTCTGAGGATAAAGTCTTTTAAAATACAAATTTAAGAATGAGATCCAAACAATGTAGTTTACACTTCCTCTAATCTACTCAAACATATAAATTAGGTAATATGAAATATTTTAAATAAACACTTGAAAGTCTATGGCATTTGCTAGTAAAACCATTATTGGTTCATGAAAAGAGGATAAAAGACCTCACAAAATTTGCCAAGTAAAATAGCTATTTTCATATTGTAGAGCTCATGGGTTCACAGTCTAAGACCAAGGTCAGACACCATTCATATGTTGGCAGGTTAATGTCAGGCTAGAAGCCAGCAAGCTCCATGGAAACCAATTTAGGAGAGTTCACATGGAGGATCAAGTAATGAGTGACTGTAACATGTAAACAAACTAGTCAGAGTCACTCACTGTGTTAAGTTTTTAAATAAAAAGTAACTTGAAAAATTTAAATACTTAAAAAGAAAATAATCTTCATAACTGAAATTTTAAATCATGTAGTAACAAGCGGCTTCAGACCAATATAACAAAACCATCTGCCTCCTCTGTAGAAGTATCAACCATCCTTTAAGATCTATAGCAAAATACAAACACCCAGGTTATCAAATTTAATTTTGTCACCCAATGAGGATAGTAAGGAAATGGAAGATTTTTTTTTCTGACAATAGGACGTTTTTGATACCTTTATCTTTACTAAGCATTACTACTTGAAAAAATAGTACTTAATATTTTTTTAAAAAAGAAAAAAGATATTCACTTAAGTGGATGCATCATGTCTTCTCCTCTTCTTCTGCCATTTCGACTTCTACTCTGATTGCCCATGAAGCCGAACAATCCCCCACCAAAAATGTGAGAGAAAATATCATCCATGCCACCACCTCCACCGCTACCTTCCCGAAGACCTTGTTCTCCATATCTGTCATATAATTCACGCTTCTCAGGGTTTGACAGTACTTCATATGCAAAACTGATTTCTTTGAACTATAAAAGAAAAAAAAGTAACAAGGAAAACAACTGGATTTTCAAGTAGAGGAGTGGGGCAAAGGCTACAGGAATCTGGAATCCAATTATTCTAACAAAAGCTATAAATTACCTTTGGTTTGATTCTGGTCCTATCTCCCACCTACCACTGCCCGGAACGTTAGCATTCCCATTACAAAACCAAAATACTCTTCATGTAAAAATTTGGCTCTATGGTAAGAGATGGGACTTTTCTTGACTTTTTTCAAGCAGGGCAATTTAAAACTGAAACCTCATGGGGCAAAATCTCAAATAACTTACTTTGTCACCAGCATTTGGATTCTTATCAGGATGGTATTCCTTGGCTAACTTTCTGTATGCCTTCAATAAAAAAGAAAATTTAAAAAAAAAAAGGTTACATACAAAATCTGATTTAAAGATTTATGAGTACTAAATATCCATTTTCCTGAGAAGCAATGTTTTAAAATCAAACCTTCCAAAAACATCTTTCATTCATTGAGACTGACAAACTGGATTCGTAAGCTGAGAAAATATCTCAATATTGTTTACTAATTTATCCACCTCAATACTGTTTACTCACTAACCAAAAACAAAATATCGAAAAATTTCATATTTTCACTATTGTCAAATGTCTTTGATGGCCAGTAACCAGACCAAGAAAACTCTAATGAACGCTAAAGAAATGATTGTTAAGTTTGTTAAAACTGCGAAATATTTTAACTAAAAATTAAGCTAAGGTAAGAACCTCTGCTCAGGATGGCTCCTGCCTTCCCTCTAATTGAAACATCAAGAGAAGCTCCTTTTATTTTTTCATATGGCGGATTAATCAGGGTATTAATTAACTGGAGTAACTTCAGTCTTCCTGAAGTTGCATACATTTAGGTGGCTAGAATATACTGCACTTAAGTCTTTATTCACAGACACATGAATTATATAATACAGACTAGCATTTCCGGTAAGGTAACAGGAAGTCCATTTTACTCTCAACTCTACCCGTCCCAATGCCTAAGGAGCAGTCTCATTTTTTCTCAGCTTACAAATCTGGATACTCTAAGCTCGGTGAAGACCGAGTAGGGCTCAGTCAAATGCCGCAAGTGCTCTGAAATCCTGAGATCAAAGATTCGCAGCATTGCAGACAGCAATAAGGCCTTATATTTATTTTTAGTGTACACTCAGGTGTTTGGCTGGTACCCACGACTTATTCCTGAACCGAGTACAGAAACATCTAGGTTACCTGCCCACAGAACAATACACCCAAACAGAGACCCACGGGGCAGTGGGCGAAGGAGGAAGAGTGGGAGGTGCTCCTGCGGCTGCGGCACCCAGGAAACATCCCCAACCGCCCGGAGGCGCCGGCGGGGGCGGCCTCAACCCTCCCGCCAGGCCCTACACCCAGCCCGGACTCGGCTCCGAAGCCGGCGACCGCGGCGTGGACAACTTCTCCCCCGAGGCCGGGATGCGCTGCGCGCCTCTGTCCAACCTGTTTTTCCAGGGTGATGACCTCCGCGCGGGGAGGGCCGCGCAGGCTGCAACCTCCCGGGAGCGCCCGGCCTCCGGCGCCCGCCGGGGGAGGGAGGAAGGAAGCGTTCTCGTCGTGTTTGCGCAGAGGCGGGTTTTATTTGCTGCATTTGCGGGCAGGCGGGGCCGACGGCCCAAGGTCAGCCGAGGCCGGTCTCGCTGCCGCCGCCGCCCCCCAGCCTGAGCCCGCCACGTCTGGCGCCGGCTCGTGGGCAGCCCCGTAGCGCGGCCTGGCCGCCTCAGCCAAGCAGGCCCGCGCCCCTCACACCCTGCCCGGCCGTCCCGCTCCCCACTACCTTCTTCAGCTCGTTCTCGCTGGCGCCGGGCGGGACGCCCAGGATGTCGTATAGCTTGGTGTCGGCCACGTTTGCCATGGCGGCCGGCCGGGCAGCGCTTAGGGAAGAAGGCGACGGAGCGGACGGAGCGAAGCCAGGCCCACAGCGGCGTCGGCGGCAGCGCAGGCCAAGGAAGACAGCGAGGGGGAAGAGGGGCGGGGCTGAACTTTGACCCGGCGCACGGCGCGCCGTGACGTCGCTGCGCGGTGTCCGCCCCTGAGCCCTCGGCCCCGGCCGTTGGGGGTCGTGGTGGTGAAGGACCCGGCGGAAGGCTCGCTTCTCCTCAGGGTCCAGTCACCGGGGCGGGGTCCAGCGTAGAAACTGAGAGAACTGTGACCCGCGCTTTCCAAGAATTCGGCTCTCTGCGAAAGGCGTGTATGGAGGGTGCTGAGGGGATGAAGAGGCCACCCCCTCGGTCAGCTTCGAGTCCGGCGGGCGAGAAAACCAGGCCGGGCCCCTTAGGGAAGCCCCGCAGAGGTCGTCCTCCGAATCCGAGATGCCGCAGGTGGACCCTCTGCGTCTGGTTCCCTCGGGGTTTAAGATGAAAAACAGCACCTGGGTGTGTGTCTGTCTTTGTGTCTCTGTCGTGTGTGTTTTGTATTAAGAAATTTTTAAACAGTCACCAAAAGTAGTATGTTGCACCGAAGAGTACAGCAGTTAGCTACATCTTACCGATTTTGTGTATCTCCTCCCACCCATACTCCCTAATCTCCATTGTTTTAAGGGAAACCGTTTTATTCATAAATGTATATACCTAATATGCCTTTTTATGGCATAATCACATTTAATGAAATTGAGTCCATCTAATTCATTGTCGATGTTCGGGTTATCACCGCTGCCTTCATGACCTTTCACAATTGGTTTGTGGCATCCGGGTCCAAATTAAGGCCGACCCGTTGTGTGGGGATCACGTGTTTAAGTCTCTAACTTGACAGCTTTAAAGTTAGCCAACACCATAGCTCTAGAGGGTATAAGGCAGTTTGGCCGGACACAGAGTTACCTGGTGATTGATGCCCATTGATTGACATTCGTTTCAGAAAATGTTTGCAGTGCACCCTCCACGTGCTGTGATGTACAGTCACCTGGACTGGGGGAGGGGAGGGTTACAAGAGAATAAGCCATTGTGCCTGCCTCCAACTCACTAACGGTTTATGGAGACAGAGAAGTAAGATGTTCTGATCCTTTGGAACCCGAACTGGTAGTAAAGACTCCGGCATAATCATTGCAGAATAATCTCTCTTCCTTGGCATTCCTCCAACCGTAGTTGTGGAGGGCCTTGAGTACCATGCCAAGGAGTTTGAAATTTATCCTGAAAACCCTGGGGAGTAACTGATGGGAAGTCATGGTACTCCTTCCACCTAACTCTTCCCTTTTCTTCAAATCCTATAAAAAATGCTGTTCTTTCAGTGAAGTCTTATTTGATTCCACAACCTGGTGAACACCACTTTTCTCATTTGAGTTTCCACTACCCTTGTTGTGCCTCTCCTAGTCCTGTCTGATGTGCAATTTGAATAGTATTTTGGTGTGAGTCCAAACTCCGTTATAGGCTGTAGATTACTTAGGGGAAATTCTTCTGTACCCCACAAGGTCTGGTTTTGAATGCAGTAAAGGCCTCAGTGATTGCAATTTCCTCACTTCCTTTTCACATATTGAGACATTCATAAAAAGCAGTATAAAGTTGTGGTAGTTAGAGCATGTGGGTTGGTAGCCTGGATCTGCCACTTATTAACAATGTGACCTTGAGCTAGTTACTTAATTTTTCTGAGGCTATTTCCTCACATGTAAAGTTAGGTTTAATAGTATTTATGTCATTGGCTTGTTTTGAGAATTAAAAGAGTCAATAACATACTTAGAACAGGAGCTAAAGCCAAGAATTAGCAGTTTGTTTTTGCCCATTTGCCTATAAGCTGTTGCCATATGTCTGTTCATTGTTTTAATCCTTTAAATACCTGGGTTCCTGAGCAGGATTCCCCAGCTTCCTCCATTGCCTATGTGGAATGCCCCTCAGTCCTTTTTCATGATCTCACCTCTCCAGATCTCCCTGCTTGCCAGTTACCATGCTTTATTCTTCATTCATCAGTTCCCGCTCCACATGAGAATATGAACTGAAAACTGTCTTTATTGTAACCTTTATGTAGTTTACCTTATTTTATCTTTCTGCTCATAAAGAGTCAAAAAGAGCTGGACTTTTCTGTTTGTTTCAGTTTTACTCAACTTTCTTTCTTTTTTTCTTTACAAGAGGAAAAAAGTCCTCACTTGATTCACTTTTAGATATTTAGGTATTTTAGTGAAAAATAACTTAGCTCTAAGTTATTTTTTACCTGTCTCTAAACCAGCACCATAGTTCATATTTTAATTTTGTTTTCATTTATTTACAATATTTTCTCCATTTCTGAGTGTTAATTGTGATCAGTATTGTTATTTGCTAATTTTATAGGTCAACAAGTTATTTCAGAACAGTTCTGTGTGTTTCAACTGGCATATACTCTCCTCCCTGTCATTACATATTGAGTCAAATCTGTGTCAGTGTGAGCACTGTAACATTTCAGCCACTGACTTTGTGTTTTTAAGGTAGCTCTTTAATTTTAGCTCCTTATTTAGCTAATGCCATGAAGGGAACAAGACCTTTATCTCATTTCATGTCTCAGGCACCATAAAATGCTGAGTCACAGTCATCTGAGGGCTGTTCTCTCTAGGCAAATGATTTAAAGTTTGAGGCTGGAGTGATTTCAGATTTCTGCCAGGCTTATATTGTTATTCAATTCCTTCTTAAAGATTTTTAAAATTTTGTGTACTTATGTAATTGTGAGGGGATGAGGTGGGGAGGAGGTGGATGAGGACTAGGGAGGAAGTATATGAACTTTAATAGTTTTAAGGCCCTTTATACTGTTCACAACTAACACAATACAAACGATGTAATCAGTCCATTACTTTATAGACAGCCCTGTATGTACAATTTAGTCAGTTGAGACAGTTTTGTTTTCAGCCTTCCTTTTAAAGAAAATTTTATTTATTTATTCATTCATTTATTTATTTGAGAGAGAGGGAGGGAGCCTGAGCGTGTGTGTGCACGCATGCATAAATGGGGCTGGGGCAGGGAGCAGAAGGGGAGGGAGAGTGAAAGAATTTCAAGCACGTACTGATCGGGAAGCCTGTGGCAGGGCTACATCTCAGGACCCTGAGATCATGACCTGAGCTGAAACCAAGAGTTGGATGCTTAACTGACTGAGCCACCCAGGTGCCCCTTTCAGCCTTTTATCTAATTAGTTTTGAATGTATAGGGCAGGCGATGCCAGTTTAAATATTTTTCAGGGGATACAAAAGAAGGTGCTAATGGCTCTTGTTACGAAGATATTAGGACTACAGAATTGATGATGGTACTCTGTGAAGGAAAAATTGTGAGGTTTGGATCACTAAGTTCCTTGTAGTTCCTAAACTAGATTGTTAAGTGATGGAGCAACTCATTGTATATGGTGTATACACATATACATACATATATTCATATACATATACACATAAACAAACATATATATACACATATGTGTATATGATTGTATATGGTGTATAGCCCCACTGCTAACCTGTCAAACCCTGTCATGTCAGACCTTTCCATGTCAATTAGCACATTGTAAAGGTCCAATTTGCTTGTAAATTAAAAATGGATGTTTAGGGGCACCTGGGTGGCTCAGTCAGTTAAGTGCCTGACTTGATTTTGGCTCAGGTATGATCTCAGGGTTGGGAGATTGAGCCCCACATCCAGCTCCACTCTGGGTGTGGTGCCTGCTTAAGATTCCTTTCTCCCTCTCCCTCTGCTCTTCCCCACCATTCACCATTGAGTATGTATTATGGACCCATTATGTATCAGACACTATTCAGGGTTAGGGATACAGTCATAAATAAAACAAAATCCCTGCTCTCACAGAACTTATATCTAGTGGGGAAGATAGACAATAAACAAGTATATAGTATATCAGATAGTAATATATACTCTGGAGAAAAGGAAAAGGGCTAAAGAGTATAAAAAGTATTGGGTTGGATACTATTTTTATTTAGGGTATTTGGGGAAGACTTAATTGATAAGATGAATTTGAATTTCAATCCAAAAGAAGTGAGGATATTTGAGAAAACTTTCCAGGTAGTGAGCCCTCAAAGGCCCTAAGGCAGAACATGCCTGGTTATTAGAAGAGGGAGACCAATATGGCTGGGTACAGCAAGTTACAGAGATAGTGGAAGGAGAGGTAGTGAAATCACAGAAGTTATGGGAGACACAATCAGGTCCATTATAAAGACTTTGGCTTTTATTATGTAATGAGGAACCATTAAAAGATTGTGAGCTGAGGAAAGACCTAAACTAAGTTGCATTTTTTTTTTTTTAAGATTTTTTTGTTTATTTATTTGACAGAGAGAGACACAGCGAGAGAGGGAACAGAAGCGGAGGGAGTGGGAGAAGCAGACTTCCTGCAGAGCAGGGAGCCCGATGTGGGGCTCGATCCCAGGACCCTGGGATTATGACCTGAGCCGAGGGCAGGTGCTTAACGACTGAGCCACCCAGGTGCCCCACTAAGTTGCATTTTAAATGTATCACCCTGATAGCTGTGTTTAAAAGCTATTGCAGTAAAACCCAGGCTGAGAGATGACTTGGGAGAAGAGGTGGGGTTGGTGAGGATTGGTTGGATTCTGGATATATTTTGAACTTGGAGCTGATAGAATTAAATGTTGGATGGAATGGGGGGCGCCTGGGTGGCTCAGTCATTAAGCGTCTGCCTTCGGCTCAGGTCATAATCCCAGGGTCCTGGGATCAAGCCCCGCATTGGGCTCCCTGCTCCGCGGTAATCCTGCTTCTCCCTCTCCCACTCTCCCTGCTTGTGTTCCCTCTCTCGATGTGTCCTCTCTGTCAAACAGATAAATAAAATCTTTAAAAAAAAAATGTTGGATGGAATGGAAGTGCGATAAAAAGAAAAGTTCACGTTAAATTAGAGATGCTTATTAGACATTCAAGGAGCAATGTTAAACAAGCAGTTGGGTTTATAAGAATGGAGTTAGAATGGGCGGTGATCTAGGAAAAAGATATAAATTTGGAACCCTTAAAAAAAAAAAGGAACCCTTTTAATATATTGATGGTGTATAGAGAGAAAAGACTGGGTAAATTCACCTTCGCTTGATAATTGCA